TATAATTATAAAACTTATATTGTTTAGTTAATTAAAATAAATTTATTTTTGTATAACTATCCAAATCAAAAAAATTAAATAGTTGAGTAATTTATTAAACCATAAATAATAAACTATTTCATTTACGTTCAAGTTAATATTGACACATAAGTTATGAATAATTATTTATTTGGCTTTTAAATTTGAAACTCAAATTTGGACTACACAATATTTTTTTTATATATATATGTATATATATATACACACACACACACACACACACACACACAAGCGTTATCGTTCAAATTTCTAGATTTGTTGTCGGTCACGTTATCGTTCAAATTTATCACCGCGTTAAATAATGTTTACAAATTTAAAGTATGGAATAAATATGTTATATGATTTACCTATATTAATTTATTGAACCTATTATATAAAATTTAAACTAGGCAAAATTACATAAAACGTGTATATTTAAATTAGTACGCAACTTGTACGGTGCACTAATTGATAATAAATTATGTTATATTCCTTTAAAATAAGTTTGTCAGTTTTTTATTTTTTTCTGAAATTAAAAGTTAATATTTTGGTAAAAATTTATCATATATGTAAATGAAATATTTTGGGATCACACACTCGGACATTACCCTGTTGGGGCCGTTTTTAGTGTTGTGAGTTCGTGTTGTGTGTTTTTTTTACCCTGTTAGGGTCGTCTTTGTGTTGTGTGGTTATTGCTCTGTTAGGGTCTTTAGGCAGGCTTCGTCCTGGCCTCTCATGTTTATTCAACTGGTGGCTGCGTTTGTCAGTTGGTGGTTGTATTTTTGCACATTTGTGCCCTTATATAAAATCTCTATCGTTCCGGAAAAAAAATATAAATAAATAATAAGTACAATTATAAAACTTATATTGTTTAGTTAATTAAAAGAAATTTATTTTTGTATAAACTATCCAAAAAAAAATTAAGCAGTTGTGTAATTTAATAAACTATAAATAATTAACTATTCCATTAACACTCAACTATAAATTATATAGTAGTGATTGATTTTATTTTTAATTATAGTAATAAATTAAGAAGAAAAATATAAATTTTGATGAATTTGTTTAAATATTTTTAAATTAATTACATAACTAAATATTATTAAAGTATATTAAATATTTATCATTATATATACACGCATATATATATATATATATATAAAGAATTTTACTTTTCTAAGTGTTTTAAGTTTAATAATAATGTCATTATGACAGTGAAATTTAAAAAATAATGGATGAGTATTACGATTAACAAAAACAAGCAAAATTATTACTTTGTTTATGTCAAAAAATAAATATAGAAATTCGTTGCTAATACAATATTAAAAGTGTTCGTTTCTATTCCGTTGCTATTTGCAAACGAAAAAATTGTGTTACTATTTACTAACAGAATAATCAAGTAATACAATTTTGGATTAATTTGTTGTTATTCCGTTGCTATTTGCCAACGAAAAAATTCTGTTGCTATTTGCCAACAAAATAATCCATTGCTAATACAGTTTTTGAAGAGTTTGTTGCTATTCCGTTACTATTTGCCAACGGAAACATTCCGTTGCTATTTACCAAAGGAATTATCCGTTGCTAATACAATTTTTAAGGAGTTTGTTGTTATTCCTTTGCTAGTTGCTAACGGAAAACATCTGTTGCTATTTACCAACGAAATTATCTGTTGCTAATACAATATTGAAGATTTTCGTTGCTATTCCGTTTCTATTTACCAACGAAAACTTTTCGTTGTTATTTGCCAACGAAATAATCTATTGCTAATACAATATTGATGATGCCCGTTGCTATTCCGTTGCTATTTGCCAACGAAAAAAATCCGTTGCTATTTACCAACAGAATAATCCGTTACTAATACAATATTGATGATGTCTGTTGCTATTCCGTTGCTCTTTGCCAATGAAAAAAATATGTTGCTATTTACCAACGGAGTAATCCGTTGCTAATACAATTTTGAAAGACTTTGTTGCTATTCTATTGGTATTGTGTTTGTGTTTACTAATGGAATATTTCTGTCACGATTTACCAACGGATTACGAAGAGTAATTTTCCGTTGCCATATCTTGTTAGTATTTTGTTGGTAATATGTTTAGAAAAATTGTACATGGAATGCATTGCTAATCCGTTGGCGATTCGTTGGCAATCCCCAACGGAAAAAATTTTGTTGGTAATTTTTGTTGGCATTTTGACAATTTCTTGTAGTGTATTATTCGCGGAATTAGTGCATAATAAGTTTTTTTCGTATTTCTTTCATCTTTCAGTTATGCGAGGCGGTATGCGAATTACCGCATATTGCTAGCATACCCCCTTCGCACTTCTACTCGAAAGTATATTTTTTATTTATTTCTTTATTTCTTTCATCTTTCAGTTATTTCAGTTATGCGATGGGGTGTGCGAATTGCCGCATATTACTCGCATACTACCTTCGCACTTCTACTCGAAAGTTTATTTTTTATTTCTTTCATTTTATGTTATTTCAGTTATGAGATGAGGTATGCGAATTACCGCATATTGCTCGCATACCCCCTTCGCACTTCTACTCGAAAGTGTATTTTTTATTTATTTTTTTTATTTCTTTCATCTTTCAGTTAGTTCAGTTAGCGATGGGGTATGCGAATTGCCGCATATTACTCGCATACCACCTTCGCACTTCTACTCGAAAGTTTACTTTTTATTTCTTTCATCTTTCTGTTATTTCAGTTATGCGATGAGGTATGTGAATTACCGCATATTGCTCGCATACCCCCTTCGCGGTTCTACTCGAAAGTTTATTTTTTATTTCATTCATCTTTCATCGATCGAAAGTTTATTTTTAAAATTTAAATTTTTGAATGGTTTAGAAACCGCTGGCAGTTGGAACGTTACGGCCGATTTCGAGGCGTCTTATCCGCTTTTCAAAACGCCTGGGCAGTAAAAGCGTGCACGCGAATCGTTTCATCCGTCTATATAAAGCGTGTAATCTTCGATCCATATATGAGAACTCTTTGTTAATGGCCCTCCGTTTTTCCCTTTTCTTGTATATGAGAAGCAGTTTGCCGGAGATAAACCAGAGTTACAAAAATTCTTTCTTTCGACCCATGAGGCAATTCTTTGACATTACTGTGTCCGAATTGAGAACTCCTTACCTTTCGAATTCGTCGGAGGAAAAAATTCAACGAGCATAAATTCCGCTATCCAACTTTATTAACTTGACCCCGACAGGAAACATACATGCCGAGACAGCGACGATGAAGATCAAACCTCCGGGCCCGGGTATTATCGTATCAACTGTGAGAAGGTTTAAGGTCGGAACGGCGAGCGTCGGCGGCCGGGGCGTAACGGCCCGCCCCTCTGTCAAAGGCAATGTTGGCCTCAACCTCTCTAGGTTGTGGTCGGCCAGGTTTTCCTGACAGAGGAAGGTGTTTGGTCGACGGGGATCTCTTCCCGGAACCCGGCAGAGCCCATCGGTTCAGAGCGTGGTGGTCGGGGCCGATCTCATGCTAGAGTTCTATATGGAACTCCACAAACAAGCTCCACCTACAGCTCATCTTTCTGGCGTCTGAGTGCTGTGGTAGGCTGGTAGCTCGTCGGTTCCCTCGTCCTAGCTTTTTTTTAGGCTTGGCTGGTCCTTCGATTTTTTTTTTTAACTTTGTAATCGGCTGGGGTTGAAGCGACTGTAAAAGTAGTAGTGTAGGGATTTCTATTCGATCTTTTATTCTGCGAAATACAATCTTCGCATATTATTCGCCTAGTTGGTGCATAATAAGAAAAAGAAACTATTTTTGGAAATTTTCTATTCTGCGACACACATTGTGAAACACTCGTGTAGTATAAATGAAGAAAAATTTATTTATTTTTATTTTTTTTTGAAATTTTCTATTCTGCGAAATACAAACGTCGCGTATTATTCGCCTAGTGGTTGCATAATAATTTTTTTTAGAATTTAATTTTTTGAAAATTCTTTTTTAGGCGAAATGAACCTGAGACTATTAGTCGAAAATATTACGCACAATAAACGCATAACACGTAGTTTAGGCTAATGAACCTGCGACAATTAGTCGAAATACAAACGTCGCCTAAACAATTAGTTGAAACAAATTCGCATACAAACCGCACAACATTCGTAGTATAATCGAAGAGTTTATTTAAACAAAAATTATTTTTGAAGATTTTCTATTCTGCGACACACATAATTGCAACAAATAAACGTCGCATAATGCATTCGCATGTCAACTGGAGGATATTCGCATACCCACTTTTTGTGTAAAACAATTATATTAAACAATTATTTTGGTCTGATTCTTTATGCGACCGTCTCACGACGGATATGCGTTAATTCGCAGGTCTACCGCAGGGTATTAAACTGTGAAAGAGATACGGAAACTAAACCATTATATTTATTTTGTTTATTAAAAATGCATCAGAATTGCGAAAGTATGGCGCTTGTTACGCGGACATTACTCGACAGTTGTTATTTCGCATATTTTGTCGTATAGTTTATTATTTAAAACAAAAAGAAAAAAGAAAGCAAAACGTCGCATATACGCTACAGTTGGACCTCTCAGGAGAAGAAAACAAAAAAGAAAGAGGGGCGAAAAATTTAAAATTCTCCATCTTGCGACATTAATTCGCATAGTTAGAAGCAAAAGAACTGTTAGAAATTAAAAGAAAAAAAGAACCAAAAATGATGAAAGAGAACGACGTCATGGACTTCTTAAGAGATTCTGAAGATTTCACGAATCAAGCTTTTCTCGAGGCGGCCGGCCAAGCGGGTGTCCTAACAGCGGCTACTGTGGTCGGCTACCCAACGGCTGCGGTAACGGGTATGGCGGGCCGCGAATCAACGACTGAAGGCACGGGTCCGGAGGTCATCTCTTTTGGAGAGGTAACTTCCATTTGTTGCAATTATTTAATTTAAGTTATTTAATTTCATCTGCTTTAATAGTTGAGAAATAGTTGTTTTTGAATAAGTAACAATAACAACGACAATGCGATTTGTTTAGGATTCGTGGTCGTACAAGAGACCGGAACTGATCGGTAATTATCAAGGGCTGAAAATCAACGTTTACAGCCGGCAGTCTATATGTTCTGATATCAAGAACGAGTTGGGCCACGTTGAAGGGGCCTTGACTGCTTTCCATGGCTCGGTTTTTGGTCCGTTCCTCCAGTTTGATGATAAGGCCAGTGTATCTGCAAAGGCTATGCATGGGGTTCTTTCGCGCGAGGTGACTCGTGTCGGTCAAAAACCGAACGAGATGTGGTTCCGTATTGGTAACCATTTTACACGATTCTCCGCCTATGAGTATGCTGTGGTCACTGTTTGTCCCATTTTTGTGTCGTTTTTGGTCATTATTTTACCGTTCTTTTTCCCCCGTATTGAGTCGTTTAGGTGGTTTTAGGATCTTTTTGTCATCTATTATGTGTTTTGCGTTCATTTGAGTATTGCGGTGCTTTCTATTTGTTTTCCGGTCATTTTCTGTTCTCTTTTCGTTTTTGGTGCGTAGTTTGGAGACCCCGGGAGAACATGTTTTTGAGAATCTTTTGGGGAGGCTGACCCCATTAGAAAGAAGGGCTCGTTAGCAACACGTAGGAAAAAACAGAACTCAATTCCGATACCAGATGAGCCCGAACGAGCCAAAACCGTGAAATCGTGTAAAGCTGCCAAGGCCTTAACGCCGCTAAGGCCTTAGCGGCGCTAAGGTCACTGTGTTTAGCGGGTTTTGGCAGCTAAGAAGGGCTGAGACGAGCAGCTAAGATGGCTTAGCGGCGCTAACCCCTTAGCGCCGCTAAGACCTATTTTGTAACAGGCGCGATTTTCATGGAATTCGAAGGGGACATTAAAGGGATCGAGCCTAGGGCTTTTGGGGACATTCCAGACCTCGTTTTCTTAGACTTTTTCACTACTAGAACACATCTTTCACTTGTCTTTTGCTTAGATTTGATCTTGGAGAGTGAAAAACTCCATTTTAACTTTTGGATTTGGATTGCTATCGGGATTTGACATTGAATTTCGTATTAATCGTAAGCTTTCTTTTCGTTTTATTTATGAATATGATGGCTTGGATTATTGAGTATTTTGATGTTGAATCGATCATGAGTAGCTAAATTCATATGCTAGGGAATAGATGATTGAAGTTTTGATTTCGTTTGCGATTATCGTGTTCGTGATTGTTCAATTTGTATGAGTTAAGCTTTTCTCTAGGGTTTTCATTCATCGTTCTTGGATTTTGAGAATTTTTGAAGGGTGACACTTCAATCTCCAATTGTTTCAATTTAATTCGATAAATTCATGCATGTTGTTGATAATTCTAAACGGATTAGTGGATTAACAACCCTCTAGTCTTCTTTAATCGACTCTTAGAACCGAAAGGGGAGGAATCGGTCGAAATAGGCTCGTATAAACTAGGCTTGTTCGTAATTATATTGCCTAGGTGTTAA